CCGAATTCCTCAATATCATCCTGTCACGTAGGCCTCGAAATTAGCTAAGCCAACGACTGATTTAGTGCCTCACATGATGTCTCCAACATCTACGTAGAGACAAGGCTGTGCTAGGTAGGGGGGGGGGGGGGGGGTCATGGGTCAATTTCCGTGTCTGGATAAGGATTCGGGTTTGGTTTTGCTTGTTGGACAAAAACAGATTTTTTGCCGAATTTGAACCTAAATTAAAGTAGACCCACTCATCGTTTTGAGTAATTTTTCGTGAGATCATATTCTATTCCGTAATGAAAATAACTTTGTATATTCGTTTGCTCAAATCAAGTAAGAGATAAATAAAAAAATAGTTTTCAAAATAACATTCTTAGAATGTAAAAATAGAGGTCAAGACAATCAATGGCACCCCACTTTTGTGGGCTATAGAGGATTTAGATGGACTTAAATTTGAACACACGCATCTGTCGAGCTCGGGTGTGGGTATAGTTTAGATTTAACCTTATTTTTTTGAAAAAAAAATTATTTCTTAAATGGGTCATTAATTTCTTAACCCAAGTTTTAATTTATGTATGTTGTAATTCAAAATTCGCACTGGGTTGCATGATGTATTTCGCGTTGTATCTCAATAATAGTTCTGAATCTCTGTATCTATAAAAATACCCAGATTCATTCTCCATTACTAACTCACATACTTGCAAAATTCGTAATTACTAAAGTCATTACATTTATCATTTTTCGTTTTTAAGAGTCTTCATAATAGAGCATACAAATCATAGTTCAGTCCATTGGGCAAATAGATTGAAGTCTTCAATTACATTTTTTTTTTTAAAAAAGGAAATACACGTATCTAGGGGTATCCATGAATCGGATGGGCCCATAAGACCCATTCTCCGCCCCCCGAAAAAATAAGACCAAAACACTATAGTTGGCTGTCATAGTCCGAACTCAATATTCTTCGAAAGAAGGTTTTGGCCTGGCCTAAGCCCATTACCCTACCCATTAGCCCACCCACAAAAAAACTGGTCCAATAACCCACCCACCCCCCTAGCCTAGCCCCCCCGCCCACTTTGTTCGAAAAAAAACTGATCAATGAAAGTTTGGTGACATATCCCTCTAAAAAAAAATTATTTATTTAAATACTAAGTTGCAGTATTCATTATTTACTTTTTATTTATTTTGACCCCAATTTTATTTCACAAATATAATTACAAAAATATTAAGTTAAAAATGTTTTAAATAAAGATGTGTATATATAAAAATGCTTGCCCAGTAAGTGACAGGTTGAGTTACGGGTCTACCCAATAACTCACATGAGTAAAGGTTACTCTACTCAAACTCAATCCGGCCCATGGGCACTCCTATGCATATCTTTCATGAGCAATGCTATTGAGACATAATTTAGGAACATAATTTAAGAATATAATACATTTTGACCAATAGAGTGATAGTAACATGCATTTAATACTCTAATCGGTCCCATCATTAAATGTATTTTCTATTATTTTATTAGTCACAATACATTATGTTTTCAAATTATATCTCTCAATTACAATAACATTAGTGATCTTTCATTAGTCAACAGAAGATACCATACAATCTGATAGTAACAGAGCCTTCAACTCACTTGTTGGGTTAATAATACTCAAGTCTAAGGGTAATGAACTAGTTAAACAAGCTTTGACAATCCAGTGAGCAACACTATTAGAAAGTCCTAGGCTTAAAATAGAAATTCAGGTTATAAGAACCTACCAGCCCTTTTATGTCCTCCAAAAAAGCAGAGATTTCCCAATGCAGAGAAGAATGAGGCCTTGGCATTCATTTTCAATAGTGGAGACAAGGCAATAGAGTTGTATTCGTAGTCTTTATTATTTATTTAAATAAAGACTAGTCTTTCTGTTGAAATCCTGGGCACACGCACTAAATAAATTGGGGTCTCAATGCAATTTTCCAAAATAGAAGGGTATTTCCGTGATAAAATTAAATATCAAAGAATGTGCGTAAAATTTGCCATTAAGTCTTTCTGTCTGTTTCTATCGGTAGTGATGATGCACAAAAAAATTTTGCACAAAAATAACAGTCCAGTATGTGATAAGATATAGTTAATGGACAATAAATAAAACAATCAATAACAGTAATGTAAATATCAAGTCAATAACAGATATAAAATGGTTCGGGGGGTCTTTATTGATGAAGTAGAGTGAATGGAGGAGCGAGCAATGGGTAGCTTTGAGAGAGATACAAAAGCTAGGAGAGAGAGAAGTTATGTGTGTGTAGATAGGTATAGAGGGGTGTGGTGAGATGCCAAGATATGTCATTTCATGTGGAGAAAACTTACAATTTATAGGCATGGTTACAATTTATATGCATGATGAAGCAATGACGTGCAAGTAAAGGCACTAATTTTTCGGGGAGGATAGCTACAAAAGGTAAGTACAATTAATATAACCTTGATCTTCAACGGTAAGTATCCCAATGATATCTCTCTTATGTGTTCTTATCTTCTTGGGCTTTTTGGAACTTGGATTGAGCCAAATTTGTGAACTGGGTTTGTTTTACCTTTTAGTTGAGTTGGGTTTGTTGGATTTATTGGGTCTAACCCGGTTAGATTTGGGCTCATCAGATAGATCAACTTGAAACTAGCCCAATTTGATATTTAACGTTAAATCATGTTTATGAAAATGAATGAAATGACTTAATTGTGATAAAAATGATAATTAAAGGACTAATTTGAAATAATTAAAAGTTCAAGGACTTAATTAAAATCAAAAACAAAATTTAAGGACCAACTATGAGATTTACCTATCTAAATAAGACCAGAATTATAATTTTACGATAATGTCCATCTTATGTTTATCCATTTTTTTTTTTTTACTAAGTTATGTTTATCCTTTTTAACCTCCTCATTTAGATGTCTGTTGGATGAGGATCAGTTTGAAAGCATCAATACAGCTAATGTGGGAGTTAGGTGCCACTTTCTCTAGTAAACATTCAATGCAACATTGATAGTATGACATTACTCTCACGTGACGTCGCCATTTAATCATAGGATTAATGAGATCAATTTTACTTATTTATTGTCTTCTAATTAGATCTTGATACCATGTAACGATAATGACATGATGTCATCGTTGTAATAAATATTTTCTCCATTTCTCATGGGATGATATTCTATCTTCCCTAAGAATGTATACCAATTTATCTTGGTCTTTGGTTTTTTTTTTTTTTTTTAACAAATTTCACTGTTGTGCAGTGTTATAAAGACCAAATTCAATATAACAATTAAATTAATTACGAGTTTCAATATTTGATAAATTCTACTTTTAATTTAATAATAATAATAACAATAATTAATTAAGTCGAAATAAATCTTTTCCCTTACGTAATTAAGTCTTTAAATTAGGGTGTTTAGACTTATACCGATTAAAGAGTGGCTGACTCTTAGGGAGTATAAAAAGTATCGAACTTAAAACCTATTACTTACAATAGGACATGCTTAACTACTGAACCACCTTTAAGAATCTCTTACATAATATATACGTGTTTTTATGAGTAATGTTACATGGATTTAAAAATTAGACTCGATAATTATAACTATTGATTTTAGTATGGGTCACAGTATTTATTGGGACCTACTACCTATTCAATAATTGTAATTATTAAGTTTAATTTTTAAGTTCGTGTAGCATTACTCGTTTTTTATTGTGGTAGAACATTTAAGTAGTTATTTATTGAGAATCATTTATTATCGCGTAGAATGATAAAAACAAGAGAGAATTGCATCAAGTATCACTGAAATTTGTCATTTAATCACTTAAACATTCTGGAGTTGAAAATATTATAAACAAACTCTTTAAGGTTTATACGCGCGTAATACTTAAACCTCTATCGTCAATATCCATCAAAATTTCTATTAGTAAATTACATTCAAACCATTTGAAATTTATAAGCGTGTAATACTTAGACCTCTCAGGTTAAAAATATTATACTTAAACAAAAAATAATTCAATTAAATATAAAATATAAAATATTTAAATTTTATAACCAATTTTTTTAATTATGTCATTTATTAATATAAATTTTAAATTTAAATATTTTTTTTAAAAAAATCGTAATTAGTATACAATTATACAATATATTAAACAATCAAACTACTCCAATTAAAAATAAAATATATTATGTCAATTACAGTTTGACTCCTTATTTATTTTTTTAATTTTATTCTAATAGATAATATAATTGTATACTAATTATGATTTTTTTTTTTAAAAAAAAATTATTTTTGATTTTATATCAATAAATGATATAATAGAATATAAATTTTAGTTATAAAATTTAAAATATTTGGATAATCAATCTTTAATTATAGTATTTTTTATTTAAGTATAATATTTTAAATTTAAAAAATCTAAATATTATACGTATACAAACTTAAGAAGTTCTAGGTGTAATATACTAACGAATATTTTATGGATATTGATGATAAGGTCTAAGTGTTACATGCGTACAAATTTCAGGAAGTCTGTGTATAATATTGTAAATATCAGGGATTTAAATGATTAAGTGATAATCCTCAGGGTCTTAAGTAAAAAAGTGTTAATTAGACAAAGAATAGTGTTATGTATCCCAAATCAAGGAGAAACATTAGATCAGTGGATTCCATTTAAAAAAATTAATGAGACCCATTAATTCAATAATGTTTCTTGATTTAGGATGTAAATTTGGACTATAAATTTGAGATACACAGTTACTCTCGAACAAAACTCAAGGGGTAAAAAATATAATTAATTTTAATTCCAAAACTGCATGAGTTGGATTGGACAGTTGGACAGTGAACGGCAAAGCACAGGCACCCGGAGTTCTCGAAGTCTGTTAAAAGTCAAAATTGCCCTTGAAATATAAGAAAAATAATTGCAGGAAAACAACAAGAGGGTCAATACTGTCTTTGCACGATTCGTCAAAATCTCCGCTGTAGAACCCCACACTATCACTAATAACATCTGAAGCGAAAGACTTTGGCCCCTGTCTCTTTTCACAAACTCCGACGCCAATAGGAAAAGAGAAAACTATATTCGTTGTTATAATTTCATCGAGGGCGGTCGAGATCGAAGACCTCAAATCGAGGGTTCGAAGTCCAAATATCAAAAAATCTTTATTTGGAATCGTCTTGTTCGATCTTTGGTAATTACTCTCTCTTTCTCTCTACAGTGATTTATCGATCTTTTTTAGGTCTGGGCTTTTACAGATCCTTGTTTCGTTCGTTTTTTGGATTCAATTTTCAGTTGTTGGGATGGTTTGTTTGAAATTCCTGTGGAATTTTTAACACTTGCGTTTTCGTTTACTTCTGAGAATCATTTGGTTGATTTTTCATATGATCTATAGATATTATGATACTAATTTACCTGTGGATTTTGATTGCACGATTGTCAATTGTGTGAAATCGGAATTTTTTTTTTTTGGTTAATTGGACATTGAATCATGGTTCATGTGCATGCAAGTCTAATGGCATTCAGAACAATCTGCTTTTCTTCTGGGGTTCTCGTTGTTATTCATAAATAAATTTATCGGAAATAGTTTCTTTTTGGCTGCCTGTAAGTGATTATTTTTTTGGTGAAAATTGAATAGCTCAACAGATTGCCCTAGGGTTTTGATGCTCATACGTCTTATAGTTTCTTTTTAGATTTATTATGCCTTAAGGTTGCTCAAGCCATATTAGGATTTTCTTACAGGATATATTGTGTGCTCCTGTGTGCTGTTGTGAACTGTTTTATGATGTCGACCTTATATAGTGGTTTGGGGCATGGGCTGGAGATGTTGTAGTGCAGTGTTGAAAGTATTGACGTGGTTGAGGCCGAGGCTTAAAGATTTTGACATAAGAAAACATAATTTTCATATGGCTGGAATCTGAACTTGGCATTTTATGCTCCCACCATGTTAAACAAAAAACAACTCTACTTGGGCTCTCCCATTGCCCAGGCTGTGCTTCCTATTGGCTTATGTTTGGAATAAACAGCAAACAAGGTATTGTGCTATCACATATAAGAGTTTCTATAGAGTATTACTCTTTGGGACAGAATTGGTGGGTGATTATGGGATTGACTTCACATCTGTGTGCAACTTTGTCTTTTCCACGTCATTTCTATTTGGGTTGAAAACACACACCATTTCAGACACTTATTGCATGATTATCGTTGATTAGTTAATTCCTTCTGAGATTGTACCCTTGTCAGACAACATCACAAAGTTCTTGTTCTATGGTTAATCACCTACCTTAATACAAATCCTTATCTGGATATGCTCTTTGTCTTCAAAGTTTATGTAGATTAGCTAGTTTATTTTGAATTTTTTGCTATTGATTGAATAATGGGCTGTGTTCCTTTAACTAGAAGGTACCTTCTTATTTTTTCTTGATGATGGATTCCTCTTATTTTTTCTTGATGATGGATTCCTTTTAAGTATGGAGTTTTATATCAATATTCCATTTCGAGAATTCCTTGGAAATCTATTATTTTTCTTAGTGATGAGCTGAATGCTTGATTTGTTTTACAGGCAACAGATTGTAGTTTTTGCTGGTCAAAGAAGTAAAGGAACTTTTTGTGACATCATCTTCCGTTGAAGCTGTGAGATGGCAGAGAAAGCATGTGTAAAGCGCCTTCAGAAGGAATATAGAGCATTGTGTAAAGTATGCTTTCTTCTTGCTCTGCCACAAGTTCTTTGATGTACAGTGAGGTTATTTATTGAAACATGGTGTCCTTATTCAGAACTTCATTTGTGATTCTTTCTTCCAATTAGATTTATAATTGAGAGATATAAGTGTGCTTCCATCAAATGAAATATGTCAATATTTGGCCAACCCTAAGATTGCTGAGATCCTAATTGTTTTTCTACTCCCTCAACAAGTTAAATCAGTGGGCATCATTTTATTATCTTTCTCTTTGAAACACCTTGATATAGGGATATTGTTTGAACTAATAAGGAATATTTAACGTGCCCACGCTTACATGCCTTCTTCATGACTTCTGCACTCTGTGGATAACTGTAGCAGGGAACAGATGACGTGTTGTCTTTGAGTCTTAGTCATAACCAAACTAGAATAGTTGAGAATTCAACTTTCCTTGGCTTTTTTAACTTTTGTTACTAATCTTTTTCTTGATAAGAAACAAAACTTTGATTCATTAAACGAATTTTAACAAGATAGGTGGACAAATGATCCAAAAAAGAAATTACATCAATAGACCAACCATGTAATCTTGTAACACCACTAACCTTCCCCCAAGGATTAGAGTTTCGTTTTGGTGCATTATTTCGGTCACCTGAGAAATGGAAAGGTTTTAACGTGATTCGGAAAGATTTCGATCCGTGTCAGAAACATAATAAAAAAAATAAAAAATTTAATAATTATTTATCCAAAATGTTGGTCAAATTATACCAAAATATCTTGAAATATCTGAAAATATTCTGAAATAATTGTGCAAATACACTAACACATTATAAAAAACACCTCGAAACATTATAAAACACTTCGAAGTATTAGAATTTTGATTTCATTACTAATTCGTCTCTTTGAAAACAAAAACGTTTTGACCATTTCGAATCGAAATTTTGATCTTTGACCTCTCCTAGCTACATGCATCTATCCAATCAATAGTAAGAAAGTAAAAAAGCACATCTTTGATTCTTTAGACGTCGAGGCCCACGGGGACGCCGAAAACTTTGCTCTATCCCAAAGAAACTCTATGTTTTCTTCAATTTCCATCCACACCACCTAGGGGTGCAACTTGGGTTGGGCAACCTGATTTCAATCCGAGTCCAACCCGAAAAAATTAGGGCTTAGGTAAGGGTTTTTAATACTTGGGTTGGATTTGGGTCAAAAAACTCCAACCCGAATTCAATTTGGATTAGGCTCGGGTTAAGGTCTCGTGAACCCGAGTTCAACCTGAACCCGACAAAGTAAAAAAAAAATTATATATATATATATAAAGCATTAACACTAGTTTTTCATTTTTGTTCTATCGTTCTTTGTCTTTCTCGTTCTCTTTGCCTCTCTCGTTCTCTCAGCCTCTCTCGTTAAAAACTTGGTTGAAGTTATTGGTTATTAATTTAGGTGAATATTATGTAATATATATATTAGGTTTAGAACAACAAGCCTATTTTGGGCTCTACCTGAATTGAACCCGAATTAAACCCGTAAAGTAACTCAAAATCAGTCCAAAATCATCAACTGGAATTCAACCTGAGCCCGTCCGAATTAAACTCGGGCAGTGCTCGGGTTGAGTTCCTCAATCCAATGTAGGGTTAGGGTTAGGGTTGAAGATTATATAGTTAGGGTTAGGTTAGAGTTGATTGTCCAACCCGCTCGAGTTGCACCCCTAACACCACCCATAAGATTGTCATAATTACACATTTCCATAAAATGGTTCCTTTACAACTTTTCTCAAACATACCATAATTTATCTCCAAAAGAGAGAGAATTTCTCGGAAACACCCAACGCAATCCAAATTCCCTCAAAGCTCTATACCACAATTTCATTATCACTGGACAATGGAGAAAAATATGGTCCACACTTTCATTAGTATTCCTACATAAAATGCACCAAAGACTCATGGAGACTAAATGAGTCATGGGACGCTTTTACACCTGGGTTGAATATAATTTGGACAGTTACATAATTATCTACCCTCATTTGTAATATAAAAGTAATTGGGAAATGCATTTAGTCCTTCCTTGTCATTGCCTTTTATGGTATACATGAATGCTTACGGCCTTAAATTGCTGGGTTTGTGTAATAAATTCACAATTGCTTAGTTATTTCTAACAGCCAAATTTTGGGGATTTTTTTTTTTTTTTATGTTGGCGACTTCATGTATCTGCTGGAAGGCAAGTTTTCATTGTCAAAAGATCCTTAATAAAGTCTCTTTGTGCACTAGACTTACTTTCTTAAATAAAAAACCTTATTTCGTTGATTTTATTATTTGGTACAAGGTTGTGATATAATATGCTCATGTAATAATAGTAGTATCAACAGGAAATAAATTAGCGAAGTCCCTAGGATGGGTTGGATATGTCCAAAGAATAAATATAGGGTAGGACTGACAGATATGAGCTCCACATAAGGTAATGTAATTTGTAAATATATCCATATTTTACACCGTGCGTCATGAACATGTCCTGTTGTTTTGTCTACACTGAAACTTTTTGGCAGTATGTTCAAGAACATAATATGATCTTTTGTTAGTCTATATTATCCTATTTGTGCGATATGGCTAGTTTGTGGGTGATTCTATTGGTAGTTTTCGCCTATTATCACTTGGATTTGGTGAGTAATAGTGTGTTCTTTGAACTTTTAGGAACCTGTTTCCCATGTTGTGGCCCGTCCTTCTCCAAATGACATTCTCGAGTGGCGTAAGTCCTTTTCACGATTGTTTTATCTAGTATGGGGTTCAAATACTCTCTCTCTCTCTCTCTCACACACACACACACACACACTCACACACATTCACTGGTTATCTACTAACATGCTTTTACTTCCAAAATATATTTTTCCAGATTATGTATTGGAGGGTAGTGAAGGAACAGCTTTTGCAGGTTTGTTGTTTTTGTTATTGGTTAGTGGTATTTTGCACTGAGCATAGATAGTGCTTTGTTGGGTTTAGTTTGTCATTGTTTGACTTTTTTGGTTCTGATGATACTCAACTGATTTGTTTTGATCTTTAAATGTCATCTACTCACTATGATAAGGTGGATATTACTATGGAAAGATCAAGTTTCCTCCAGAGTATCCCTTTAAACCACCAGGAATCAGGTTGTTTAAGTTATGGTTGGAACTTTTCTGGTTCTTTAATAGAAGTTGTTGGCCAGAAAGAGTACTTATCTTATTGCTACCATTTTTTATGTAGAAGTTATTAACTAGAAATCTTGCTTTCTTTTCCTGTAGCATGACTACTCCTAATGGACGGTTTATGACACAAAAGAAAATTTGCCTGTCAATGAGTGATTGTAAGTCTTCAAAGTGACATGGATTTTGGAATTTTTGTACTTCTATGAGCATTGATTATGTTTTCACTTTCTCTGCATCAAATTAAAGTCCATCCAGAAAGTTGGAACCCGATGTGGTCTGTGTCAAGGTATGAAGTTGCAGTCAATGAGGATGTTAGTTCCCCAGTCCCTTCTTTTTTTGTAGCTTCTTGTGCTAACTTTTTTGGTTTACTGTATTGCAGCATACTTACAGGGCTTCTTTCATTCATGGTGAGTTTATTGTGCCTTTTGGGTATATATGAAATTGTGTGATTGAATAGTAATGGATTTTCCTTTTGCTTCTTTGGGAATAGCATTTTTATATTTGTTTTTCTTGCTATGTTATTCACTTATATTTGAGTTATGCGGTTTTGCTTAAAGTTTGTGGCCCAAATATTGGAAATGGCCAAAAAGTTGATATTCTTACCGAATATGATATGTATGAAGAAAACTGTTTTCCCTGCAGAGCATAGCCTATGAACCATCTCCTTTGATCAATTGCTACAATCTTGTTAAATCTAAGGTGTCAAAGTAGGAAATCAGAGTGTGGTTAACAGTGCTTTTTATACAAAATAGTGTTAATATTTTGATTTGGTTGAAGCATCTACCAAGTTTCAATTGCATGTCCAACCATTTCTGTCTTGGTTCTTTTTCTTTTTCCATGCAGATGGACAATAGTCCTACCACCGGCAGTGTAAATACTACTGTGGTTGAGAAGCAACGGCTTGCAAAGGCTTCTCTGGCTTTCAATTGTAAAAAGTAAGCTGGCCTTTTTTCTATATGTTTCGTGAAATACACAATATAACGCTACTATATTTCTCACATTAGTCTTTTTACTCTATTTTTTGGACGGACACCTCAGATTTTGTGTGACATTTTTTTTTTCTTCTTTTCTGTTACAGCCCAACGTTTAGGAAATTATTTCCGGAGTATGTGGAGAAGTATGAACAACAGCAGCTCTCTGAGCAGCCTGTTCCAGAGCAGTTACCATCAGTGCCAACTCAAGAAGATAATTCCCGAAACTTGTTGGAGAAGCGTGGTAATTTGATGAGAGAGGAACCAAATAGAGTTGAAGCCCCCATAGACATGAATAACCGGAAGCGGAAATCTTTTCCAACCTGGGTCCTGTTGCTGTTAGTTTCCATTTTTGGTATTTTAATGGCCTTGCCTCTGCTTCAACTTTGATATTCCCACTATGAGGGAAAACCTTAGGATGCTTGGTAGGCATAGCCGCTTGCAACCTTTTTTTGTGTTTTTTTTTGTTCTCACTTGCTGCTTCAATAGACTTCTTCTCTTTAATGTTATGTCTGGGGATTGTCATGTACCTAATGAAACTTGTATAGGGGTTGTGCTAATGGAGGACGATCAATTATACCTTTAGGCCAAGGTGATTCCCCTTCTATTTTACTGTTTTGCAGTTTCTTTGGTCAATGTTGAAACATTACATGCTTGTAATGTTTCCTTGATTGATTCAGAGTTTCTGTTGGTTTCTGTTTTCTTGATACTTCCACCTTTCTTGTCTCTATGAGACGTGGATCCATGAAAAATTTAGATCTGGTGGTGCAGCCTACAGATGATGCTTCAGCACACTGGTATATTAGTTGCAGTTGGCCTTTGTTATGTCTGGCTTGTGTGAGTTTACTTATGGTATTGATGGCTGCTTCATTTTCGGACAGGTCATGGTATAGAAAGTTAGTATTACACATTTTTGCAACTTGAAAGGGGAACTACAGGGTTTCGGGGCCGGGATGAGATGAGCCTGTCAAAAACACATTCATTTAAGTGGTCTTTGAATCATATAGAAGCGTTCTAGCATTTGTTGTGCTTGACTTTTACGTGTATGAACAACTGAGTCATCTGGTCATCCTGTGTGTAGGGTTGATATTTGAGTTGAGTTTGCCGTGTTCTTTTTTTCAAATGTGTTTAAAAAATTGTTTTTATTTGGCTCGTTTTTGAGTCGAGCCGAGCCGAGTTAAGTCTGAGTAGTTCGACTATATAAACGAGTCGAGTTTTGTGAGCTCGAATCAAGTTTAAAAAAACAAGTCTAAACTATTGTTAGTTTAAGATTAGTTCGTTTAGAAAACAAATTGAACTTAAATTAAGTTCAAAATGAGTTAAACTCAAGTCGGTTTGATTATCAACCTAACCTTACCTGTGTGGCCTTGAAGAGAGAAGAAACATAGCAGTTGGCAGTGGTTGCAGTCATATGGTTCATGTGGGTGTGAAATTGACAGGCGATTTTTAATCTTTGGCTCATGCATCGAGTCGTCTATGTGCATGTGGGTTATTAACGTGTTTGAAGGGGTCTTCTCTTTCAGTCAGTCAGACAGGATTCAGAGCTAAACCTACCAATGCTGCCCAACAGAATATTATCATGACCACACCTCCATGTGCTTCCGTTCGTTTACAGCTGAGTTAGTGAAATTATCATCAGAAAGGACAACAACCCCCGTCTTATTTTTTTTAGGTTTTTCTTTCTACGGTTGATTCCAAATATATTGAATTCATAAGTTGCCGACAGCTTTTTATAAGGTTTCAAAAGATTTTCCCTCTAATATTTTCTTTATTATTTAATTATAAATTACTTGTCCACCATAAAATCAAGTGGGATCAGTTATATAAGGAAAATGTTATACATCCCAAAACATTTACTAAACACGTGTCTTTATCAAATGAGTTGGCACCTCTAGATCATTCTTGGATCCATCAAAATGCTGATCAAAATATTTTTAATTGGATATAAAACTACCTACTCATTTGGTAAAATTATTTTTTGGTAAGTATAACATTACTTATTATATAAATAATTTTTTTTTGGTTCGACAGTCAGAGATTAGTTTACGCACACTTCAACTAATTCCCTCTCCAGTCCGGTCAAAAGTAAGTCATCCATGCTGCGACTATGATTTTCATGAGAATAAAATTCTTTATGACCTGATCTTAAAAAGTTATCAAAATTTGACTTTAACACGTCTGTATTTACAACTTATATCTGATACCATTTGAATTACTTTTGAAATTTATAAATGATTTTTGTTGTCCAGACATTGTTAATGATCTATTAATAATCGAAACTGAGAGAATATATTAAAAAAGATTTGAATCTGCCACGTTAATTCCATTTACAGTTATATATAGGGTTTTCAGTTGGTGATGGAGTTTCATTTACAGGAAAAAAAAAAAAAACAAAAAAAAATCCAGGCTTAATGAATTAAATCTTTTGGATTAGGAGAATAGTGGAATTCGGGTTATTATACACATGAGCCTCCTGTATTATGATGGTCTTCTCTCCCACTCTTGTCGTGTGCTTTACAATCTACTTAGGCGCCGCTTAGGAAACCCCATTTCCCTCCCAAACTTTGAAAAGCTCCTCGTAATCTCCGAAACATGCGGCGAAGAAAACGCTATTTTTCTAATTAATACATATACATAATGATGATGATTAATTGTCTTTAAATCTACTTTACTTAAACTATCACGTATTAAAATCCCCTTTAATTATTACTAGGGTTTTTTATATTTTGCACCTTGAAAGATTTTAAATTTTTTTTTTGTATTCTCAAAGATTAATTTTTTTATATTACACCTATCAAAAGTGTTGCAATGTGGTTATTCTGTTAGTTTTTCGTTATTTTTTTCGTCAAAAGCCAATCAATTGACACTGACGAAAAAATTAACAGAAAGTTAACATTACAATATTTTTGATACATTGAGAGTATAATATGAAAAATTTAATCTTTGAGGGTATAAAATATAAAAATTTTTAAGATGCAAATAGTAATTCGTCCTCGTTAGGATTTATGCAAAGTACCTTATTTATTCCCTGCCTTTAATCTTCTATATATGTTTATATCTCTCCCTCTCTCTCTCTTGATCCCTGCTTAGTCTGCTTTACACTACAAGTGATGAAGAGTATTATCAGTTCTTCATGAACTCAAATCTCCAGAGCTAAATCGAGAAAAAAAGAAGAAGAAGAAAAACACTACACGTTTTCTAGCATTGTTCATTTCAAGGTGGGCATATAATTAATTGTGTGTTCAAACATTAGTCCTATGTTTTTAGTAACTTCATAAAAGGGTAATCTTCATCTTTGTCCTTTTATGGAGTGTTGTTGGGCTGGCATGGTTTGGACATGTAGTCATTTTTTGGTATTTTGTTCATTTGAACCTTTATTTTTTTTTGTTAAAAAAAAAATAAACCTTTAATTGCCTTTTCTAGGCCAATGTCAGTAAAAGCTTCACTACCAATCCAACTGCCAAAAGGTTCCATAAATTTTCTCATACTGGCCCATGTGATTCAATAGGGTAGCTGCTCCTTGACCTCTAATGACTATAAGATCTGATTTTGATGTCACTGTTCTCTGTTTCATCTAAATTTTTTCGACAGAGAAGAAGAACAGTTGAAGGTAGGGAAGAACAAGTGTAGTTTCGTTTCCTCTTCTTGGTCATGAAATCTGTTGAATTAATTCACATCAGGGCAGAGATGGGTATTGAAACATGAAATGTGATGAAAAAGAAATGGCATTCCATTGATTCATAGTTGTATTATCCTTTTTCTTGTTTCCCTGTTATGCATTCATTAGCATTGAGATCTCTATTGAATCTTTTTTTTGATTTTCAGGGAAGGATGAAGAAGTCTCCGATATACCCAAATTATGATTCTGGGGATTATTATGGTTGTGAGTTCGATCTTCAGGTGGATTTTACTGAGGTAATGAAGATTTTTGCTTTAATTTGCTCTTGAAGTATGAGTTCCTGTTTATTGTAAACAAACTAAATTGAACCAAACCAAACCAAGTCTTATTTGGACTCATCATGGTGGATCTGACAAAATTTTACGTTAACTGTCAACTACCTAATGCAACCCTCCTCCTTTATCCTGACTTGAGCGTTGAATACAAAACTGGCAGAGTTACAGTTCATTGTAAACAGAGTTGTACATAAGGTTACAGTAAAAAGAACTGTCTTTTGTGCTCTGATTCTGCAAGATTGCATTGATAATCTTGTCATGGTTGCTTTTGATTAGTTCTTGGAAGAAGCAAAGAAACATACAAGTGAAGGGAACTTTGATGTTGCCCCACCATATCCAAAGAAGAGGGAAAGAAACAATTGGTTGAGT